AATTTAAAATAAATTTTTTCATATTTAAATATTTATAAGTTAATTTAAATTTGACTTAAAATTTGATTTGAACTTAACTTAACTTAAATAAATTTAAGTTAAAATTGAGTCGAGTTAAACTCAAGTTGTGTCAAATTGAGTTGAGTTTAAAATTTATATAATTCGAATTAAGTCGAGTTGAAAGATTTTATAAAATAAATTTGACTTGACTTAACTTGAAAAAAATAAGTTGAATAGAGTTGATCTTTAAACTCAACTCAACTTGACTTATTCAGAACTCTAATCAGGATCTTACTTTGCAGAAATACAAGGAAAAAAATACCACCAATTAATGAGAAAATTTTTTCTTCAAAACTATTGAGTAAGACGAAATTTTCATATTAATATCATGAGAGATTTATTAAAAAACTCTGATCAAAAATGTGCATGATATCTGTCTAATGATCAATAAGAAAAAATATTATATAGTATATTTATTTTATTAATAATATAACTTAATAAAAATTACATGTATGAAATCTCTATTCTATGAATTTTTGGGGATCGAAACTATTACTACTATTTCACTAAAATTATGTTCACTATCCCAGAGTCAGAATTATATAATATTTTGTAAATGTACATGTGATAGCCATTTTTAAGTCATCAACGTATGTATAAGCGGGTATATAGCATTTGAAAAGTCATATACAATAGAATTGTTGCTTTCTTTATTAAACAGTACTTATAAATACCTGATTCTTTTCACATAGTATAAAGTTCTATTATATTGCCTGCTATTTTATATAAAGTAAATATAGTTAAATATCATTAATTGGCAAAAATGCAAAATAAATTGATATATACTGACGACGTTAATGGTAAATATCCTCAAATTCTGTCTCTTAAATAATTGATAAAATATTCTTTTAAGCTTTGGTATATTTTTTATAGTATCAATGAAGTCTTTAGAAAATTGAACCAACTTTTTGTGATTTCGTTATCATTTAACTTAAGTAGAGTTTAGTCTATCAGTTTCTAGATAAACAATTTTAAGCTCTACGCTCTTTCTTAGTTATACTATAGTCATACAGTCAGGCTTTCATGCAAATTTACAAGAACCTTTCCATATGGCACTAGTCGAGTTCCTTTCCTCACTCCTATTGAAAAATATAATCATTATACTGTAATACAAAGTAAGACTCTGAATTCAAGCTAATCTATATCTGGTTTTAACTTACCATATATCTTATACAACTGAATTCTCAGATAAATCGCTTAACACTATATTTATTAGAAACATAAGTACTTTGCAAACATATGATCCTTCATTAACCAGTTTTCCTTTCTTCAATTAGACTTTGTACTTAGGTGATTTCCAGACTTTAAGCCTGTAAAGAATTATTGATTGTTAGAAATTTGATAATCTCTTACGAAAAAATAAAGAATTTACAATGCTTTTAATATTTGTCTAAATATTATTTGAAGCATCTCAGGGCTATCTAGCCATCTCTTATATTCAACATTACTTAAATTATCATTTATATTAATCTTTGATTTTCATTATGGATGAACTCTTTACAAATATCCATTATGATATTGTTCTGATCTAGTCTATATTTTTGAAAAGGTTCCTTAAAAATATTACAAAATGATTCAGGCATCTTTATAAAAGATTCAGATTTAATATCAAGGATCCCAGAATATATTGGATGGTCGAACCCAAAGCTTTAACATTTACTTATTCTAATTCCATTTCGATTCTTTCTCACATAATTTTCTCATAATCAGTACTCTCATTTATAAGCTGACCATCATCATATTTTAAAAAACGCAAATTGCATTTGTATCATCAGGTCAAGTCTCTGTATCAATCATCAAAGCCTTTATTTCTGTAAGAAAACATAAATCTTCGAAGATACTTGCAATTTAAATATAATTAACTTAGCTTAGACTTAACATATTTTGTTAATTAAAGTGAATAATAATTTGTGAGATCAGATTAGGTTTTCATTTTTATAAACTATTAAAAAATGCTGGCAATACACCCAATAACTAATATTTAGATACATATAACTAGCTACTGCTATGCAGGAAGTGATAATATCACAACGGATATAACTTATTTACTAGCATATAAGCCCTTTAGAAAACCTAAAAAAAATACATCATATTCATATATTTGACATAAATATAGCTTATCACCCTTATCCGTTTTGCTAATTTTTTCCTAATATCAAAACTTTGAAACTTCTTTTTTCATTTAACATCCTCTGAGGGGATTTGTTCTAAAATTCTTTCTAGAACATTTTCAAAGTTCTTCACTTCTTTTTCAAGAATGCCTGTCCATTCACCTTGCTCAAGACGTACAAACAATACTATGAAAATTCTGATAATATTAAGAGGCTTTTTTGTTAAAAGGGATTCTTCCATATTTTAATAAAATAAATATTAATGAAAAGCTTGTTGGGGGAGAGAAAGGAGAATATGCAAGGCAGTTTACGCTGAAAGTTTGTATTTGAGAATAAGGGCATATGGAATATGCATTAAAGATCTCGACATTTAGAATGGTATTAGGGACAATGCATATACGGACTTTTTACACTGCCTGACCGCTTAATAGTTAATACTAAGACCCGGCAACATTATATAAATATATTCTACTTGGCATATAATAGAAATAGCTCATCCTTCTGGAGCAAATATAAATATCAGTAAATGTTATTTTGCTAAATGTTGTAAGGGAAAAAATTTGAAATATTTGCAGAGTATCACATATACACCCTCCTTCAAGCTATGTTTTTCAGGAGTTCCCGAAAAAATTTATTTTTGGGGATCAGAAACACGTTTATTTTTTGTCATACACGCCTATGACATGTAGAACTAACTGGTGATACTCTAATATGTAGAAATATTAAAATTACTAAATATAGAAATTATAGTGGGTTTAAGTTTATGCTATAGCAGATAGTATTATTGGATTCAAATTTATACGGAATTCGAGCAAAGAAAAAGTAACTTGATTTACATAATGACGCATATATTTGCTTCAAGATATAATCACATGATTTGATGAAAAATCAATCCATTTTGTTTATACCGCAATAAGGGAACACGTTTATGTTTAGCAAATACCAACAAACTATTATTTTTTATTGATATGCAAACAATGTTAATTTTTGATACAAGTCTATTACACGCCTCCCTTAACTCATGCTCATGATGCAACAATTTTCATATAATATGTAGTCAGATTTAGCTTGGCGGTATTCGCAATATATAAGAACTGATTGGGTCAATAACCTCAAGTTTACGGGCCTTTGCTATTTTAAGATCTTGAATAACTCTCAATGACTTGATCAATTCATCTCTAAGAAGAAATATGGCTCTGAGTAGTTCGTACAAATAACATAAATCAGATATTCTTGTCGGTAAATGGAACTGAGACAACGTTCTTATACAATAAATCCCACGACCAACTATATATAGTTCAGAGATGATACAATTGTAGCCTATAAAAAGTATAAATCATAGTAAATTTCAAATCATATTGTTGAAACAAAATTGCATAACGGAAGTAAAATTTTACCTTTTGTTTGTAGCCCAAATACTTTAAGTTTTTTAGCCAATTCGAACTCACACACACTATAGTCATAAAATAGATTATTAAGTACGTCTACCAAACAACGATCTAGTTTACACTTGTCTGTCCCCTTCCAGATTCCTAGTCGGAAGTCGGGTTGGTGCTCCGGATAATTCAATTATCATAAGTTCTTTATCGTCGGCATCTACAAGTGAACCAATACCATCTGCCTTTGATCCAATTCATTTTCTTTTGCCCTTCGCAAGTTGATAGTTTCGACGATTAGCCGATGATAAACTCGTGATTTCACCCCTACAGTACGATATTTGTTGTCATGTAAAAAACAGCCAATCATACAAAAGATCCGTCAAAAAAAGGGTGCTTACTTACCAAGTTATATCCATTAAGTCTTTGAAAATGAAAATGAACGGTTCTATAATTGGTTCAATAAACCTTACACGAACTGTAGCCTCGGTTTGAGGTCGTTTAGCAAAGTATTCCGGCCGGTTTTCAAGACAAAAATACTGTTATATTGATATTATATAGTCAATGATAAGTTCGGTTCTTAGTAATCTCATACCAACAGTACTTACTAATGATCGATGATTCTACGAGCATATTTATCTTCATCAGTAGTTACTTCTTCATAGGAATCAAATGATTCCCGTATTTTTTTAATCTCAGGAATTTTCAAATAATTTTCAAGTTGTCGTTCTACTGAAGGAGGTAGGTCCACTGATGGCTTTGATATAGAAGTAATTGCGGACCATTCCTTATCGGAACAGAATGAAGGTCTGCGTTGCTTCGGTACATTGTCCAGGTCAATTATATGAGCGTAATATTCTCTGCCCAACGGAAGAATGGAATAAATATGAAATGAAGTCGACTGGAGAATTACAAAAAACCACTAATACTCACTCTTCAAGATCACTTTCATCACTTTCGGAGTTCGCATCATCCTCCTTTCGAGAAGGATCTACTTCATCTTCGGACTCATAATCATAATCTTCTTCGACTCATCATCTTCGGACTTATGAATTGAATCATTATTTCTGTTTTGGACCTGGCGCAATATAGAGTGAAGGTCTTCTCGAAAAGGCGACATGCATATGATTAATCCACTCCGACAATACAGTATAGATTATTGATCAAAGAAATGTTACCAGCTCAGTAAATCCTTCAAAGTGCATGAAAAATAAATCTTTGCCGATATTCTCTCTCTTCCGCTGGTCATCAACATCTTTCCAAAAATTGACAACAGCTTGGGATTGACATTCTTTCTATTGAGTGAAAAGACGTAAGTCAAAGGCAATCAAAAGAAATATCACAAAGTTGAGCAAGGGACGCAAGGGATTCGATCAGCTGTGGTATCAAAGCAGTGGATGATCCAACAGAGGATAGAATCCCAGAAATGTAATTATTATACCACGAGGCGAAAGCAGTAGATCGCTGTGGCTCCCACATTTCCGCTGGTATGCTTTCTGAAAGCAGTGGATCTTTCCCTGAATTCAAAGCAGTGGATGAACGCAGAGGAAGCACACCAGCTTCTGCTCGATCTTATACAAAGAATTCAAAAAAAAAAAAAAAAACATCCCCTTAAAATTTTTGACTGCTTCATCTGCAAGCTTCCGAATCCGAACAGATTCGTGTTTTTTTTGAAATTAGCGATATGCTTTCTAACCAATCTCTATGCGTTATTTTTTTGTCAAGGGTCTTGCGTTTATTTTTTAGGTTACATAAGTATTCAAGAAGATGATTTGTCACGTTAGGTTTTTCTAATGTTTTTATTAAATGTTTCCAGGGGTCTTTCGACGACACTTTTTTGCGCTTAGGCATTGTACAAAAAAATTTCATAACGATATTAACAGTTAACGATATCTGATTATTTATTACTGTATTATTTTCACATCACCTTCGGTTGCACGGCACGTGTACACATAGGAAGAAATTCACGTGATTGGCTATCAATTTCCTATTTAATAGCTACATTATTTATACAGTTTAAAGTACTTTTTTAGAAATAAGGTTTCACATATTTAAGAAAAAATTTTTTTGTATATATAGCTTCATTAGAGCATTAGAACGTTACTGTCAAAATTAATCTCTAATAATCTTTTATTCAAGAAGTATTAGCTTAATAGTGACTTTATGGATAAAACAAAGAAACTCAAAGGACCGTACGCTATAGAAATTTGTAAAAAAAGTTCTGTAACATGGCAAACTGTTACTGGCATGTTGATATCTCGTGGAAAGGCTAACAAAACACTTTTTTTTTATATCAAAGAAAATGATGTTATATGCTTACAATATTATAATGCAATCGTTATATGTTTCTTCTGAATTTCAACAACATGCATTAGTACAGCCTTATAATGAGCCCGAACTTGAGCCAGAAACTTCTAATAATGATTTTTTGTCTTTTTCACAGGTTGTGGAGATAATTACAACTATTCTCATGAAAGAGAGTGTAACTCATTACCATCAATTTGGGTATTTGAAGAATTTCGTTTGCTTATGAAATCAAATGATGAGTGGTTGAAGCAATTCTTTGATGAATTGTATTTATCAACTAATCCTTTAACAAAGAAAAAAAATATAATAGAAAAAGTATTAAGGTAATTAGTTTTTTTATGTTATTATCTTTGTGACATTAGAAATAAATTTGTTAACAATGTAAAAAGAGATTTTGGTATGTATTTAGATTTTACCAAAACTCCTAATTTAACTATAGATACCTTGGCAACATTAGGCTTGACAACAACTTCTCATACTATTTCTTATTACAAGAATACCATGTCTAAAAAGCATTCAAAGATTGTGAAATCAAGGCTTTCAGGAAGTGTCAATAATGTGATGGTTTTAAATATTGACGATTATCACAGCATTCATACTAAAAGAATGTCTAATACAGTCATAACATCAATAGTAGTACATCTTGCTACTGTTTTACTTAATTTAATAGAGAATGAGCTGGTAATATTAAAGTAAGATGAAACTTTTTCTGCTATCATGCCACGACCAAAGAAAGAAAACAATAAAAACTAACAAAAACAACCAACTCGTTCTCGCCCTGATACTCCAGAGCAACAATCAAAGAAAAAACAAAATACCTTGCAAACTGCTGAACCCGAAAGTAGTATGTCCACTAACAACAATAACGATAAAACTTCACTTATGGACGTCGACCCTTCTCCGCTCGATAAAGGAAAGGGCAAAGAAGTTTTACAAAGTGAAACAACCTTAGTTGTCACTACAGAACAAAGTAAAATAAACGTCGACAATACCAACGACGCCTCTGAAAATTTTTTGAACAACAAGAAGAGTCCTCAAGAAATTACCATAAAAAAAATGAAATTTTTCGCTTACTTTCCAACAGCTGACTACCCCAGAAAATCCTCTCAAACGAAAGTTACTAACATCACAGACCTCATGTTCGATAGATTTGACTCATTTTTAGGTATCGCACTAGCTAAATACTCAGAAAACCAATCGAAAAGTATACTTAAAGCGACATTTTCTGATAAAGAAGAAAGGGATGCATTCTGTAAGATTAACTTACCTAATTTAGAAAACGCACGTTTTTGCCTCTCGAAATCATACCCAAACATCTGTTTGTGCTACAACAATCCATCAAAGTTACAGAGATTCCATTGGACACAACTAAAAATAGAATTAAGAAAATCTTTTCCTGATTCAGAAAGATCGTCAGGTTCACCATGAAAACAAAGAACTTATGGCAATAAGCTACAATTACTTACGATAATGATGCCAACTTCAAAAAGGTTTTGGTGTCTTTGTCCTCAACGATATGGTACGATTCCATATGTGTAACTTATCAAGAGATCAAATACAAGGACGATCAAAGTTTTCGGCCAAGCTCACTTGCCTCCCATGTTACACTACAGGCAAAGACTCATCTGACCTTAGAGTGATAGTCAATGCGACAACCTGGATCATCCCAAAGGCTAGATCTAATTATAACAACCTACAACATGCTTTCTTCTATTTCGCATCAGCAGATGACCACGATGCAGCAATCAATAATAACAACCTTACGATTAACGGCAAACAAGTTAAATAGACAAGTAACAAAACGCCATTATGCGCCATCTGTTCTTTTTCCCATCATAAAATAAAAGACTGTCATAAAAAACGAAAAACACCTAACGATAGAAATACACAGAACCTGTACTAACGATTTCAACCTGCTCAATACAATAACTATAAGGCTCCGTCATGTTCCAAACAAGGAGCAGTTAATCCGAACGTGACCTTTGCTAGAATTATCAAGGAAAGACAGGAAGAAAAACCTACACCTTCAATGAAACCTACATTTGGTATTTCTAACAACAAAGATGGGTCTTTCGCGTTAAAAGGTCCAAATAATATACCACTCCCTTTCTGGAGTGATGACATCCTGCTGGTATGGAGATCATTGATAACACACTTACCCCAAGGGAATCACGTGATATAGCCGCTGATACGAAAGCTGGAGGCTCTATGCATGAAATATCCAATGATGAAGCTGATTTCAAAGCATTTATTAAGGACAGCTTCCTGCATCTAACTCAGAAACTTGAAGACTTCACAATCGCCATGGGTTCTGTTATGAAAAGAATGGACACCATAAAAAGCACCCTCGATATCAAGGTCCTAGCTCTAGAAGAAATCACGGATGATTCAGATATGGTGTATGGCTACGACACTCCAGCTATAGACACGTCTAACTCAGTTATTAACAAATAACGACGCACTATTAACGCCCTTACAGAACTCAATGATGCCCAAAATTTAAGACTAAAGCATTTCACAGAAATGGTTAATAGTTTGGTAAACTCATATAATGTCTTCCGCATGATCCTCATTCAAAACAATCTATTATCTGCTGATAAAACAGCAGAAATGATGGCTCTCAACACTAACTACAATTTAACAGCTGATAAGACTCTAAAGAGCCTTCCTCAATTCTAAACAAATAATCATAATTACTGTTTCTACAGATATCAATAATGTTTTATCATCTTCAAACAATAATAATTCCATCCCTTCACTAAATATTCCAAATCTCACCTTCGCTACCCACAATATCAGATTATTCACAAATATTGCAAAACAATATTTCCTCCTCTTTCTTTATTCCACATACAATATAGATATCATCAGCATCTAAGAAACCAACTTTAAACAAACACACACAAAGAATTTCAATCCAACTCATTCCTCCCACATATCGTTTTTCAGTTCAACACTGAGACAAAGAACGGCCTTCAGAGTTGGATTTATATTAAAGAAAGACATCGCCTATCATGTTTTCAAGCACGATACAAAACTAGATCATTTGATTTACATAGATTTACAATTCGTCAATAAACAAAAACTACGTGTCATTAATTGTTATTTACCACCCGCAGACTTGAAAACCAGACAAGAAGTGCAGCATATACTTATAAAATGGATCAAAGAAGCTTCATCCCTAGACTATCATATGGCTGTGCTAGGAGATTTCAATACTGACATAGACCGCTAACACAATCCGACAAATGCACTCAAGTATTTCAACACGTTGCTCAGAATGTCCATGTTTGATACCTTCACCCTCAAACATGACTGCACAAGAACCAGCTTTCCTTTATATACTAACAGTCAGAGCACCTCGAGAATAGACTACATATGGATATTAACTGAAATTTCTGTTAACATACTGGAATGCTATACCATTCTAATAGCTTCTGATATATCTGACCACTTGCCAGTCATAACAAAGTGTGCTAATTTTTTAGATATCAGATTTAACAAAAGGAAAACACAGGCGAAAATAAGTTTTGACTTCAACAAAATGGATGACCATAAATGGAGCAAATTTGGAGCTAAATTTGATGCACTCTTAAATGGCTGCTCACTGAAAATTGTGCACGTCAACACCTTTTAGACACAAATATTGCTCAACAAACAGTGGGATCAGTTCTAGAACCTACTGATTAAAGCTGCTAAATCGATGATTCCTATCTGAAAATCAACAGAACAATTTAAATATTTGCGACCCCCTAGATTGTCTAAACTTTATGTATAATAAAAAGAACTCCACAAATTCAACAAGTTGTTACGATCAATCAAAAATGGGGCATCTTTTCTGATTTCCTGGTCTCATTCTTACGATATTTACATCAATATCGCATACTCACTGAACTTAGTTACTGCTCACCCTACTCCAAATTATCCATTCAATTTCATTGATTTTCTGCTCTCAGATACTAATTTATTAATCAATATAGTTCATTGTAAAGCCAAACTACACGAAAAGGAATATAAACTTAATTCAATTCAGCAAGCACTCAATCAACGTCTTGAAAACTATGCTGAACAACCTGGTAAAATGTTAGACTCCACCTTAAATCGTTCAAGAAGAACCATAGTGCTCGACCGCTGCCTATCAAGAGATTCCAAGGATCTGATTACGGACGAAAGTGCTGTCAAATTTAACGTAAACACACATTTCCAAAAGGTGGCAGGCACCATACATGAAGAAAAAAATAATTCCTGAGAAATGGAGCTCTTTCTATAACCTGATCTCCAACATCGACCCTACTATATATAAGTCCTTAATGTCAATGCCTACGGTAGAGAAATGGTACAACATTATACAATTATTAGCAGATGGCAAAGTATCAAGTATCTCAAAGATTCATAATAAAATGTTAAAACACCTCAGTCCACTCGCCAAAAAATTTTTTGGCATATTATTTGTGGTTGTTTAAAGATCTTATCGCTACCAAATAGATGGAACTTAGCATACATATACCCGATCCCTAAACCTAAACCATGGGAATACGACCTGA